GACTCAACATCCAATGCACCTGCCGGGTTTGTCCCGCAGGCCTCTCCCGCGATGTTCGATGCATCGTCTGCAATGCCAGCCACGACCGGAGGTATGTTTATGGGAAGAACGCCAGTCAATCCGATGGGAGGTCTTCCTAACGAACCAATGTCCTTCCCATCGCCTGGATTTGTCCCTCAACCTCCTACAATGACCTCGCATACAGCAGGAACGTTTATGGGTAGAACACCCGCTCATCATATGGAAAGTCTGTCCAACGAACCGATGTCTCATCCTGCGCCTGGATTTATTCCTCAGCCTCCTGTAATGTCTGCTACCACACCGCATATGGGAGGGATGTTTATGGATAGGACTCCGGGCAATGCAATGGGAGGTTTGCCCAATAGTACTCCGGCCAGCACAAACATAAACGTTTCGAATGCTGCGAATTTCAAAACAGGAAGTGCCAGAGAACCTGTTACACAAACTACTACGAAAGAACCTGCACGACTTCCAAGTTCTCGCCGACCTTCCATTTCTGCTTCTTCAACTGGACGGATGCCTGCTCGATTGCCTTCGTTTACCGGGGGAGAGTCTTCGCAACAAGCTCAACCACCACCACAACAATTTCAATTTCCAGGTTTTTCACAATACGATTTCGGATCTCAATCATTTGGCGGTGGCGGACCATTTGGTGGTGGCGGATCTTCTGACCCTAATGCGTTCAAAGCCACTCCCGCTTCAATTATGAGGAATATGAGTAATGTTCGTGCCCCGGCTCGTTTACCAGGGCATAGTTCAACTAATGCTCCTGCTCGTCTACCGGATCGAAACAGCACAATTAACACTCCTGCACGATTGCCACTCCCGCCTTCGCACGTGAATACGCCCTGGTCAATGGGAGGACAACTAACCAATCCACGACCTCCTGCTACCTTACATACACCAGGCAGTAGGCAGCAAGGATTTATCCCTCCTTCCCCGCATACATCAGTAAGAATTATATCTTTAAATCTTCATTTCGTTCCAAGTGTTTACTATGCATCTACGTAATTTTTTTTAGGCTGCTCCGACACCGGGAAGATCGGGCTTGGGTCTACCCACAGGAGGATCTCGTGGTGAATCACACAGAGGTTCACCTGTGCGGTCGTCTTCACCCTATCGAGCATTCGATGCCAGTACTTATGTTGATCCTGCTACTATACATTTCCCTCCTTCTCGACCCAGCTCAAGGGCAGGATCGGTAAGGTCTGCTCAAGGAACAACATTCAGGCCCATGTCATCATACTTGCTGCCTCCTGGAGGAAAGGTAATCGATACTAGAAACGCTATTATAGAAAGTGCTTCAGACGAAGATGATTGAAGATAAATATGGATTTTTTTTTTCGTTTGAAAACTCGTGGTGGTACTTTTTGATCTTTTTTTTGTTTTGTGATGGAATCGAGATTGTATTTATCACCAAGGTAGAGAATTTTTTTGATGATATAGGCGTATCTTATCAATGGCGGAATCAAATCTTAGCGTAGAGTTTATAAAGAGCAATTGAAATACTATCCAACTAAGTTCCGAGCAATCCACGATATGTAGCCTGACTGGATTACCATAATCATTGGCGTTCTTGTCCTAAGTGAGGAGCACCCATTGGGGACACAGATTTTCGGACCATGTTATAACGCAAATTGGCGAGCTATAATACAAACCAAAAAATCTAGGAACCGAACACGCCCGTTTTTTCCCACTTCCTTGACTCCTCGATTTGCAGGATGGCGAAATTTTTTACAACCTATCAGAAAAGATTTAATCCGAACGAGTGGGGTCCTTATTGGTTTACTCCCCAACTCTCTTCAAGCATTTCGTTACTTTCTCCATCTGTCTCGTCAACCAACAATCTGGCTGCTTCTATTCCAGTGATAGGTAGGCGCGTTGATTCTCCAGTCAAAGGATGGGGAAGATGAGAAGGTAAGATGCCAACTTGTTTTAAGGCACCTGCCTGATCCCACCAGATGTGCTCATGATACAGACGATCACCTCGCACGTTAACAACACTCATCATAGGTATGGATAATTTTTTCCCAGTGGGAGCCACTCCTGGAAGTAACCAATCAACGATCCTGTCATGTGTCAGGGAAAAGATGAATTCATCTAAGCCAAAGAAAGGTATAAATAAATGTATAGTCAGGTCATTTATCATATAAGTTAGGAGGCGAGTAGTGCTTCTGGTGTGGAAATGACTAACCTATAATTCTATCGGCGCCGACAGTTCGCGAAACAGGTTCGATGGACGTATCGGCAGGGTTCCTAAAAAATGATTACGAGATGTTACCTCACCCTTACCATGGGCAGTGGGTGGACGAAAAAAAATAAAAACATACGTACGAGAAAATGAAATGGTCGCGGTAGAACGCGGTTAGATTATCACGCCCAATGCCTCCGGTCATCTGCGAAGAAGTCAATAAATAAATAAAAACAGGTCCAGGAACGATTACAATAAGAAGCTTACAGTAGGAACATGATTTACATATGGTTCAGCCTATGACATATTCGTTGATAAGCATTTTTTAGCCATCATAACAAGACAAAAAAAAGGAAGTGAGAGAGAGAGAAAGAGACGTGCCACCATCGTTCCCATTGTCTTAGCGACGCTGCGTATTTCAAATTCGAAATAAGTATGTTCATCCCAAATAGCTTCAAGATCAAAATGTGGGCCACCAATATGTTTTCTTAAAAAGACTAAGCTTCTGGAATGGGAAACTCCTGCTGACCCGGCATGATAATCTTCACACTGAGGAAGAACAAAGAAGCGGCCGCTAGTGGGATAAGTATAACGAGTGTACGATTGATGATTATTAGTAGCAGGTACTAAGGCCGTATTCGGTATATGACTTAGAAGGGGAACAGGACATTCTAAGTCGCAAGGTGTGCCATATGACACCAGGCAAGTTATATGCTGTTGTTTCGCGATTGCTTCTAGTACTACAGGCAATCTTTCACCGTCATAAACTTGATATTTACGAAATAAAATATGAGTTTATGGAACAAAAGAAATTGACATGACCTAACTGATAACTCCAAATTTATCCTTAATATCAACCGAATCTAACTCGATAAGAGCTGATATTGCCAGCTGTAAAGTATCCTGTATATTTTGCTCTTGGTTTTCATAAATTCCGACAACAGCAAAGCCTTCTTCTGCCCATTTCTGGACAGGTTCGGGGTCCAAAAGCTTTTTTGACGTTAATTTGAATTCATCAAGACTTGTATTTTGAAAATCGGGAAGAAATACGATCAAACCAGGACCATGACCTCTTCGAGAAAGGGGTGGCTGTAAGATAATTTTAGATTTAGATTGTAGTAGTATTTGTGGAGCTGAAGGTAGAGTGACTGGTTGCTCAAGTTCAGAATTGGGATCGTACTTCGTGGGAGGCATGGAAAACCACGCCAGAACAACGCGTGACCCATCATGTCACGCGTTGTTGTTGTTTTTTCTCACCACCTTTTTTTTTGCCTATCCCTGGTGAGCCCTGCCCCCGTCGGTTGGCCACTGGCGTAAATTTCGGCACAAATTTATTCAGTTTGGATAAAGGGATTGACCGTGTTCAATCTTTCCGCAGTTTATTTTATTTTATTTTGCACAAGTTTGTTTGCTATTTTTCAGAATTAGCATTGATTTACAATCGAGTTGACAACAAACCGAGTTACATCGGATTATGATTTCATCGAAGAAGTTCTTATTAAAATACAATGTAGTCTTGTTTTATGACTCTAATTCTATAATAGCCAAGACAAGTTTCTCAGAACACCTCTGGCACTACATCTCATGGGAAAGTCCATACTAACTTGAAATTAACATCATCAGCAACTAGTAACGGGTGAGTATTTTTTTAAGAGAATAAACTATAGTTTTTTGTTTTTACTAAAAATCTCATCATCCTTTCATTTAGTTAACTTGAACAGATGGACAGTTGGAAATGACCTAAACGATGCCGAGAGTGACACTCGCTCGACATTTATTTGGTTGAATCTTGGATCTATGGGAAATACACGGGAGACAACTCGCTCGAAACTCGCTTCTTTAGCATTTGCAACTTTTCTTCACACATGATGTTATGTTCTTGTCCCTGGCGCGGTAATCTAAATCAGACGTTTGTACCCTATGATCGCCGAATTCTCTGTTGGTCTTCTTTGCAACTAATGCACGGCGATAACGATGTTTTGGAGCGCATTTCTTTTTAGTTTCCCAAAGGTCCCATGGAAGGAGATAGTTTTTGACAGCTTAGATCATCTTTCTCCTGGTGTGTCAATTTTATGTCAATCCTTGGTTTTAAGGAACGAACTCTAAAAAACTCAAAGTAAAGGTTTTCGGACTAGAAACGTTTGATATGTTCCGTGTGTCTGATAACTCATAACTCACTCTCCACTACAACGTTCCATCAAAAGAAAGGGTGAACATATAATTATGTGTTCCTGGCGCCGAATCGTTTGCATACATTCGGGGACGAATGGCACCCGCGAAGCTCACGGCTTATCTTCCCTGCTTGTCCTTTTCAACACCCTCTATTCGCAGGTCGGTTCTAACAAACTATATGCCAAGATTTTCTGAAGTGGCGCAGGGATACCTTACTTCAATTAACTTACCAAGAAGTGTCTTGGTAGGGATAGGGCCGATATATGTGTATCTCGTCTTTTGGTACCCTTTATGGACTTTTCTCTTTAGGCCACATGGGAGTGACTAATTTGCTTTTTTTATTTTTTATTTTTTTATTTTATCTTGATTTGTTCAAGATTCCACATGCTAGAAGCAAGTGATTAGTTTGATGCATGTATAGTAACACTATATGGGCAGTTCTAAACTGAATGCAATCGGGATGTGTCAGACTAACACTCAGGTTCATCACTGAGTTTTTTAGTTCCTGTGCATATGGGTCTTTTCAATTCATTTTATCCATTTTTTTGGCGGGAAAATGCTTAATGTGGACTCTTATTGAAAAGACCGTTTAAATAGGACATGCAAAAAAAAAAAGTGTGCCCACCGCGAGTCGAACGCGGGGCTCTTCGGAACTCAAACCTGAATCCACAACGAAGTGATTTAACCACTAATCGATGGGCACGTTCTTTGTGAATTTATTTCTCAACATCATAGTTTGGTAACATTCCAGAATAAGCCGAACCTGAATGCCGTTTCAACTTTTCCAGAGCATAAACTATCACACTATCTTTAGACCACACTGATTTTTATTTTTAGGTCTGTCGGCTCGCTCTTATGGCTCTAATGTTTGTGCTAAAAATGATGAAAAAGGGAGGTCTATCCTCATATGTACAAGTCCGGTGACAGTGGAGAAAAAAAATAAGTGATTTTTCCAGCCATGAATGCTCACTGAGTTGGTACCTTTCTGTCAAAAAAAAAAGTCAGCTGGAAGATTAATGAACCTTTAAAGGGTTTACGGTCTTTGTAAGACGGTACGTCAGGCTTTAGCGACATCCCCAGTGTATCGGCTGTTTTCACTATATTTTTTTTTTAGCTTCGCTTAACGCAATAACTTATCAAGCAAGCAATATCGCAAGTCTTATTAGAAATTCGAGGGATGCCCTCAGCCAGTCTTTTTAGACTTGACAGCATGTCATAGGAATGGGTGGCGAAACTTACAGGCTGGAGATTCGACAATCAAGAAGTCTCAGTCCCAGGTTGATACGATTCGGGGAGAGTTCCGAAATCACAATTCGAAGTGGCAAAACAAATGCCTTGTATATGCTATTTGAATCGGGTTTATACTTTAAGGTTTTCTTCTCCTTTGTTTGTGGAGCTTGGTGAAGTGTATTGTATTGGTATCTTATATACGCGCTGAATTAAAAAAAAAACATATCTTTTGTTATTTGTCTGTTCTCTCTCAAGTTCCAAAAATTTCATTGCCGAAAATGTTGCCGAATATCAAATATGATATCTTATCATAAAAATATATATATTCTCGGCTGCAAAATTATGTTTATATTGGGAAGCAACTGTTCGGGAAAGCAAAAAATACTCACACGTGGCATACCCGAGCTACATTATTCTCTAAGGCGGCGGAAGAAAATAAGTTATGTTATTCTTTTTTGTTTGACAACTCACATGGATATGGCTGCTAAGAAGAGTCTTAACCAGTTCCGCAATAAAACGATTAAAGTTTACACTAGTTAAAATGCGCATATACTGTGCAATATCTTCGTTCGGCACGGTAGTCCCGATCATCAGTGAATTGGGAACTGAAGACAACGACATTAGGCAATGGATTTCGCAATAGAATCGACCCGACTTCTTGTATATATACCCTTTTATCAAAGAACATATGAGATCCGAAAGTTAATTAGAAAGCTAACCCACCTCAGATGTTGGCGCTCGACCGGCATGGACCCAAGCGCGAAAAGATTCATTCAAGAAGAACTTTTTGTTGATTGTGTCCAAAGACAACCGTCAATATGATATGAGGCGTAAAATCTTTTCCCTCGTTCATAATCGAAGGCCAGTCAAGAAATATACATGTGGGTCAGTAACCTCACCGTCGTCGCCTCCCCACCGTAGCGAAACGAGTGGTTCACCACGTGTTTTATTAAGGGGTAAACGTTAATTGGTTACTTTTCAATCGATTAATAAACGAGCGTTAAAGGAGCGTTTAAAGTCGTCGTCGTCTGTACTAGTATGTTTTCTTTCTTCCCCCTCTCCCTCGGTTGTCGACTTGTCTGTGAATTACTCAAATTTGAGCGCTCGCCACTGTCATGAGATATGATATGAAAAAAAAAACCATTAAGTCATTGTTTTTTCGGGTTTTGTTTTTTGTTTTTTTTTTTGTTTGTTTTTTTTGTTTTTTTGTTTTTCTTTTTCAGATTCCTGATCTTCAGAAAGACCCTGAGTTTTTTCATCAGTTGGTAATTAGAGACCAAATAAATCGACACGACCGTGACGTGGGCCTTTGAAGCATATATTACAAGGGTGATACATACACGTACCCCTCCGGCACGGAGCTCTATTCGTCCACCCAACTAAAGGATCCGCAGACAAGTTAACATAAAGCAGAGATGGGATGGCTCACTATTCAGGCATACAGGAAATTAGGATGCAGGGATTCTAGATACATATATATATATATATATATAATAAAGTCAGAATCCCGATACTATCGGGTCTTCCATGATACATCCTATTTATTAATTTAATTTTTTTTTCGTCGGATATGAGGATAATATGGGTAATTTAGCCAAGCGTTTTTTTTTGGTTTTCCAAGAACGACCCTGATCGCTGATTTTGTTAATTCCAATTTTGTTTTTTTGAAGGGGTGGTAACGCTGGAGGCTTTGTCATTCGTGTCTGGCCCTTCAAGGATAAAAAGATACATGTAGGGAAGAGGGGGAGTGATTTAGTCCTTCTTTGCCAGTTGCCATTCATACCTCTCAGAGAGCGATTAATAGTGATTTCAGTGTTCACCAAAAAAAGAAAAAACCTCAAAAAATACTGAATAGCGCTAGAAGAGTGCTAATACAATTATACTGTGTAAAAAAAAATCAGCTCCTATAGTCATGATGACCCTGTTATCAAATAGGCGGAGGGACGAGTTCTTAATAGCACAAAACCCTTGTCTTCTAATTCTCCAAAGACGGAAATCTACCATGATGAGTTAATATAGAATAAAGAGAAGATCTGCCGCGTTATTAGTTTAACGGATGATTGTTTATTCTTATTGCACCGTCGAAAGGTCGGAGGTGAATTTTTACTTAAAATGGTCTGTGTTCTGGGAGGAGAAGCGGGTTAGTTAGTGCGTATCGGTTAAATAACTAGACGAGTGAGAAGTTAAACCTATATATTTATCTTAGGAGAAGATTTTTTTGGCAAGTGAGACTTGGGATTACCGCGGAAGTGACAGGGAACCGTTGTCTCTCTTCCTGGTTCTAGGGAAAAAGTGCATATAACCAGAGCCGATTTCCCACTCAATACAATGAAACACCTTATGAAAGAAACCTTTTGTTGAAAAAAAAAACCCACTTTTAATAGGGTCGCAAATTACAGGTCGTTGTCATTGCGGTTATGGGTTATTACTCCTGTGGTCTGGACCTATGAATCAGGTACCGGAGTCATTGACACTGTAAGGCAATTCGCGACGATCAGGAAAAAAATGTCTCCCCTTCATGAAAGCAAAAAGGAGCTCGTTTGACCAATATTAATAATATACAGATCATCATCATCAAAAAGCCTATGTCGGAACTATTGGATCAGTTTGAATGAAGGATGATTCGGCGCGCGGCAAGCTAGCTGCCAGTCGATACTAGTGTGGGTGTATGTGCATGTGCAATGATGTATGTGTGTGGAGAGAGGGGTGTGCAAAAAAAAAAAAATTTTTTTTGATAATTAAGATCAAGCTATGCGAATACAAATTAAGGAAGGATGTGCCCGTGTCTATTTCTCATCTGCATTCCTAGCCTTTTTTTTTTGGCCACTTCTTTCGCTTCGCTTCGAGAGACATATCATCATATTGCTTCGAAATTTCCCGCCGCGTAATAAGTAAACGTATTTGTGAGCGTGTAATAATGAGAGGGTTAAGTAAGAGAGGGGTTGGTCGGGAAAGAAGATGATGCATGTCATAGGCACTTGTCCTTTTTTTTAATGAGAGCTTAATAAAAGAAGAGGGGGAGAGAGAGAGAGAAACAATAACGCCGTGATTTGAATTGCTAATGCTCTAAATTATTCCCGACACAAGGAGTAAAAAAAACCACGATTAAAGGAATCCGGAGTGTCCCGTGAGATGGAATTGAGATGTGCGATCAAAGTCGTCTTTTATTTTTTGAACAGAGCTAGAAGTCCATAAAGTTTGATAAATGAAATTGAAGCGGGAAAGTGTTCACATTTCAAATAGGAGGCATGGGAGATGGTTTTTCCCCCTCCCTCAACTTGGAAGGGAATTTATGTATATAGCTTTCTTCTATAATGTGCGCCTTTGCCTGAGTTTATTTTTACCGGAAATCCATCTATGCTTGTGTACTCTACTAGGGTCCGAAGGAGTAAACCAAATCCCACGATAAGTTACATAACTTGAACCCCAGCAACCATAGAAGGGGCAATTCAACCCTCCGGAGGGTGGTGGTGGTGGTGGTGGTCAATGCGAAAACGGGTTTATCTTGCAAAAGTATTCCTATATTTAGTATGTATTCGACCGGGAATTTAAATATAACTTTTTTTTTTTTGGTGTGATTAGAGAAATTCGGCTGCAAGCGAAGTGATGAGGGCCGCGTCTGTACTTCGTACGCGTATTTATTTTATATAAAATGGTTCATAGTCGAAGAACCAGTGTCGGAGCAATGGCCTCAACAAGGTAAAAAAGAATGACTTGGACACTTAACCCATTCTCGCTTGTATTATATCCCTGAACATCCCGAATTCGGTTGGGAAAACCAGTAAAAATTGAAAGTTTGATAACAAAGTTTTTTTTTTAAAAAGAAACTGACCACAAAACAAATTATAGACCAGAAATGATGACATTCTCCTTCGGTGATTTTTCAAAGCCGACGGTGAAAAGGGAATGCCTTTCCCCAAGTTCGATTCCGTTTCTTTTTTTCTCTCTCTCTCTCTCACTCTCAGATATGGATATATAGTGTGATAAGCCTTTTGCGAGTCTAGAACTTCGAACCATAGGTTAAAAGATGTACACACCTGGCAGCTATCCCGATCAGATGGCAAGTCTCGAATCGCAAGTTGACAAAAGTATGTGAATACGTTCCTTTTCAAACCCGAACGGGGAACGTCATCTTTGGCGACGTTTGTTTCTGAAAAATATTATCCGACTCTGTAGACGTAAAAAGACACTGTTGACAGCGGGTAAGATGATTAAACTTTATGCCTCCAAGAGGAACATGAAAATCCCAAGGGCCCGTAAATCGAACGAAATAGGAGAGGGGTCTAGATCATGCGACTTCCACTCATATACACCCGTGCGCGAGTCCTGCGTTTGATTTGACACTGATAAGGGTATCCGATATAAAATTCGCAGACGTTGAGCGTTACGTTCGAGCTTCCAAACCTCATCCGACTCCTCCACCGCGATTCAAATTATTAAACAAACAAGAAAGTAGGAATAACTTCATTTTTC